TCCAATTATTAGGATTGTTTTTGTGTGTGTGTGTGTGTGTTCGTGTTAATTATTGATATTTTTTAAATGGCCAGTAATAATGAAATAGCATTTTCTTGTTCTCAGCGATCCACTTCTGGAGTGGGGGGGTGGGGATCATCACGAACACCACTTGCATGATTAAAACTCAACCTGGCCTTTTATATCAATCAATTCGTTAGAAGCAGCAAACTGTATGTAAAGGGTAAAATCCAGAGTTGAAAATGGGGTACAGATTCACGGGGAATGAAGACTCGTACCACAAAGATACTTAACATGAGAAAGGAACCTAATTAATATTCCGTGTGTTGTTGAGTATGTTACTGAAATTAACTGTCAAATTGGTATAAAAATGCCTAAGCTAGCTCATCCTAACCCTTGCACAGAAGCCCTCCAGAATTTCTTTATTGAAGGTCAACATTGTTCCAAATGGGTAACTAAAACTGGAACTGAACTCAGGATGTATCAGATTTATAGTTTGTACCAAGAGAGACAACAACGGCACTTTGCTGCACCGTGGGAGATTACTTCCTTTCCAATTTTAATCCCTCCCCTTTCACCCAAGAAGCAAATTAGAGATCAGCCCAAGCTTCGTCTTGAAAGAAAGCTGAACGCCTTAAGCTATATTGATGTTCTGTAAAATAGAGCATTCTCTCTCTCAAATCATATACACTGATGGTTCCCTACACCGCCCCATGGGTGCAGCTGGAAGTACAGTTGTCCTGACAATGGGCGATGGCTTATATTTTGAGTGGGGAGTCCGTATAAACAACTGGGCCTCTACCCTTCAGACTGAACTATTTGCCTTGCTCCTTGTACTGAAATGTGTACCAGTCTCCAAACTTGATACATTAATTGTAAGTTACTCTTTATCATCCTTAATTGCTCTCAACTCTTTAGGACATAACTGTAACATGCTCGTGTCTGAAGCTAGACACAAATACAACAAAATTATTAATGATGGTAACAAGAGTCCATTTCATGTGGTCTCCATCTCATGTTGGCCTCCGAATGCATGATAGAGCTAATGAGTTAGCCAAAGAATCTGCCTTTAAAGGATAAATTGAGTGTAACCTTGGATTGTTAATAAGCAGTCTGAGAGCAGTAGTACACCGAGAACTTCAACAAAATCTTGTAGATCTGAGGCAAAGTGAAATCGACACCAGTAATTCCATCTATCATCATACTATCATGCAAGAAGAGACACACATCTATGGATCATCCAATAAAATCAGCAGACTTCTAGATGTTACTACTGCTCGGCTTAGACTCAGTTACAAGTATCTCTGGGAATTCTCATTATCTGCTGATGTAGACCTGACCAAATGTAAACTGTCAACAAAATTATTCGCACACCCTCCGTCACTATGTGATGAAGTGCGAAAAGATAAGTAAATTCGGAGACAATTCTATAACAAATATTCCAGAGATGTGTACATATTTCATTCAAAATGATCTGCTACCAGAAATCTTAGCCAAATATACCCACTTTGCTAACTGTAGGTAGTAACTAAGTGATTGTAACCTATCCACCGCTGCCCACTGGATGGGGGGGCGGTGTGCAGGACAAACATATAAATTGTGACACTAGCTCTCCACATATGTCAGTTGCTTAATTTAGAAACTGTACTTGTCGGTCTCGAGCCCATTGTTGATATGACGATGTGCATTAAATTTTGTAATTAGCTCAAGATTATAACTTGCTTAGCTAAACGAATGGTGGGGTTCAGTCCCTGAGCCCATTATGTGCCTCTTTAACCCTTTCCACCAATCAATCGACAATCATCATTCTGGCTTTCCACTACCGCCCACAAGATGGGTTTGGGGTGCTTAAAAAATAAACTAAATTAATTAAATTCTTGCAAGACGTGCCGGTTGGTAGCGGGTTGCAGTAGTCGCCTATGGGCCGCCTCTACGTCACAGTCTGTTAGACAAGCTCTGGCAAGTCAACCCCTGACCCCGGGCCAGGCTTGGGGGAGCTGAAGAACTCCCAGAACCATCTTCAGGTACAACATGATGTACCTCCAGAAATCTTAGCCAAATATCCGATGTCTTCTTAATGGAGGTTGTACATGCAAATGACGGGTAACTTTCCACCACCGCCCGCTGGATGGCTGTTGGGTTCATGACTACGAAAAGATGTGCGATGCAAATTGCTCCGCTAAGGGACTGTTGTGGCTTTCTAACCAATTGTCTTACAGAGAGTGAGTATGGGGGCACACCCCAACCTCCATATAAGTCTACCGTGTATGAATACACTCTGGCTTCCTGTCCCCCGACACAATGAATTATTATTATAATTATTATAAACTACCACTAAGGTACACAATTAAGGGTCCCGGAAGTACAGTCTAGTTCGTTCTCGACGTACAATCGGGAATTCCGGGTTCGAATCCCGGTCGGGACAGAAATGGTTGGGCAAATTACCTTTCACCTAATGCCTCTGATCACCTAGCAGTGAGCAGGTACTCAGGAGTTAGTCAGCTTGTTGTGGGGTTGTATCCTGGGCGGGGTCAGTAATTCGGCCTTGGGGGGGGGGGACCCATATAAGTCTACCGTGTATGATTAATAAGATGCTTATCTTAACATACTAATAAGGTTAGGTGAGGTCGGTGTTTTCTATGAAGCTTTTCAAGGTAAACTAAAATATTTACAATCAATTAGTATGTCACATATGCACTTATTAAATAAGCCAATATTGACTATAAGCAAGTGCGAGAACGGGTTGCAACAATACACTCTGGCTTCCTGTCCCCCGACACAATGAATTATTATTATAAACTACCACTCAAGCATAGGATGAGTATGGGGTGCATAATAAACTACCGCTTCACAGGATGATTTTGAAGTCGGTATAGACTACCGCTCAAGCACAGGTTTGCTATAAATGTTGTTGCAGTTATCAGTATACAGTAATGCTGTCCTTGGGCTGCTCATATCCAATTCAAGGTGGCAATCATCATTCACTTTAAGAGCACATTCTTCGGCTAACTCATCAGTTTTATCAAGCATGAGGAAGCCAATATGGGATAGGAGACAAGCTCTGACTCCCTCATTTATTATATGTTATTATATCTGTGCCGTGCTTGAGGAGTTCAGAGTACAGTCACGGATGATAGAGTCACTTAAGTACAATTAGTGTGTCAAGTATGGACATATACCCGTTTGTGTTCAAGGAATATGGCAAAGAATTCTGTCTGAAGAGAAAAGGCCCAGTAATTTTCATGAGTTCCCCCCCTCAGAATAGGAGCCATCTCTAGTTATCTCAACAATTGTACTTCCGGCAACTCAGAGGAGTAGTGTAGGGAACCATCAGTGTACTGTATATAGTCTGGGAGAGGGAGCGCTCTCTCACCATAGCATCTGTCTAGCTTAAGGCATTGTACTTTTCATCATGTTGAAGCATGGGTTATCTTTAACCATCTTCTTGGATGGGAAGGAAAGAATAGTAATTTATTTGGAGAGGGGTGATCTCCCACGGTGCAGGAGAGTGTCGTTGTTGGCCCCTTTGTATACATCATCAACTCGATATATTCTGAGTTCGGTTGGAGTTTTAATATTGCATCTTGAGTTATGCTGACTTTCATTAACGAAGGTTCAGAGGTTTAGAACTATCCTCTCAAAAGTTTTGCAAATGCCAAAAAAAACTAGTAAGGGAAATACGGTGGAAGGTACCTACTGGTTAGGCTCCATGGAAATAATGAGACTTGGTCCATGAATTGGTCCCAGTAATGACACTGTAACTGTTGGTCCCAGTTACATTGTCAAACAATTCCAACAAAGGATTTCCTGGTATTAGAAAAAAGCAAATGCAGTGTATCATAAGTGATTCCATCCTCCCCGGGAGATGTGGCTTTACCTCTATGTACAACTGAGTGTAGTTCAAATTTAGTAATCTTCCATACGGAGCAACGGGAGTATATAGTCAAGGAGCCTTACTCTATCGTCATATCTAATATTTAGCTAGCTAGAGAAAGGCTGCTAAAGTTAGAGGTGGTGGCCCGAGCATCAATTAGATCATGTGCTCTGTGTAAGGGATGAGGCTGTGAGGTCTGTATCGATATCTGTGGCAGGTGGTTGCAGTTAATGAAGCCCCCAGTGGTGAATATTCCAATTGTAAATTATGTGAACAAGAGCTGGGATATATTCTCCAACATTATATCTGTGATTCTCCTGTTATCAGTGACTTCAGACCAAATAGTATGAGGGACTTTGGGCTCTGTAACTACTTCATACACTCGCGAATATTGGAAGATATTCTTGTGCGCTACCCAGTGTTTACTAGTGCAGGCCAGTAGGGTAGACTCGCATATGATGCTCTCTCCTGATTCCACATATGATTAACCATCCTGTGAGATGGGAATATTTAGATGAACTTAGCTCGTTTCCGATCTATACTCTGTAATCCTTCATACAGAGTAGGGTAGCAGCACATTGCTGTGTATTCCCAAATTTGTTAATTAAAGTCATCTGAAGCAACTACCAACTACAGTGTGTCAATTATAGCGTGTTTTACCTAATTTACCTGAGAGCCACTAGCCCCAGTGGCCTCGATGAGGACAGGAAGCCAGCGGCTTGTCGAAGGTCCACCCAATTGTCTTGATAATCTTTTCCAGGTAGATTTAACAACTAAAATGTATTCCATACTTGGCCTTAAATTACCCATCTCGCATTATTGAATATGTTCCATATGGATAAAAATATACGAATAGTTTTATAATTTCTAATTAATGAATTTATTTTTATTTTTTATTATGATTAGTCAAAAGTATAAAAGTATTTATGACGTTCTATCTGAAATATTTGTGTTATGTCGGCGACCTCTGCGAGCCTAAGATATAAATACAATTAATTAAAAAATTCCCGTTTTATGTATCTTGCAAAATACCATTCCATTTGTTTGAATTATAGATTTGTACATATATATATTATATATATACAAAATATGATATATAAATCATCTTCGTGTTGTGCTGTAGGCTGGTTACCCTTTAGTCAAAATAAACCTGCAGAAGTGGAGGTGCTTCATGACCTCCACGCATTTGTGACTTTTTAAATGAAGCCTCGACCCCACAGAGACCCTCGAAATGGCAGATGAACCCCAGCAGACAGACGTTAGCAGCAGTCATGACGAGGAGAAGTAAGCAGGAATGACCTGGAATGTGTGCTGCGGGGGTGTCTGCGGGACCTGGTGAAGGTTAACGAGGGAACCACACCCGCTGGTGACGACCTGGGACAGTGGGGTCTAGGGGACCTGGTAAAGGTTAACGAGGGAACCACACCCGCTGGTGACGACCTGGGACAGTGGGGTCTAGGGGACCTGGTGAAGGTTAACGAGGGAACCACACCCGCTGGTGATGATCTGGGATAGTGGGGTCTGGGGGACCTGGTGATGGTTAACTAGGGAACCACACTCGCTGGTGATGACCTGGGACTGGGGTCTGGGGGACCTGGTGAAGGTTAACTAGGGAACCACACTCGCTGGTGATGACCTGGGACAGTGGGGTCTGGGGGACCTGGTGAAGGTTAACTAGGGAACCACACCTGCTGGTGACGACCTGGGACAGTGGGGTCTGGGGGACCTGGTGATGGTTAACTAGGGAACCACACCCGCTGGGGATGACCTGGGACAGTGGGGTCTGGGGGACTTGGTGAAGGTTAACGAGGGAACCACACCTGCTGGTGACGACCTGGGACAAGGGTGTCTGCGGGACCCGGTGAAAGTAAGAGTAGCACACCTGCTCTCCATTACCTCCCAATCTCTCTTGCTTAACCTCTGTAATTTTCTCATCACTCCCCAGCATCTTCACTTTCTGATTATTACATACATTATTAATGTATGTAATGTATTAAAATGCCATTGCTAATTATTAAGCCATTGCCTATTTAAGAGAGCACTGAGCCAATATGATAATATAACACATGGAAGGGATATGAGGACAGGATAGGAGCAAGGATGGGGGAAGGATTTAAGGAATGATTCCCAACGTATTGGGTTGGCGTTTAATCCTCGATGGTCTAAGACATTGGGAATGGTTCCTTCACGTCTTCATCCTTTACCCACTCCTGTCCTCTCCTCGCATCCCTTTTATGTTCTAGTCATAATGGCTTAGCGCTTCACCTTGTAATTTCCATTTCTGTATCCATTGATTGTCTAATATTCTCTACAGCAAACGGTATTGTTGGGTATGTTATGCAAGTGATGAAGATGATGAAACGGCACCATGGGTTAAACCATGCAAATGCAGAGGCACCACAAAATGGGTGAGTTATTTAAGCTTGTTCAACTTCACATTGCGAGGCAAGTTATTATAAATATATGGTTGTGTTCCTACTAAACTTATCTTTTTTATATATCTTGTATCAACTGAAATTTCCAATACAGTAAATATTGTTTTAAGAAATTTTGTTACTGTAGGAAGAAATAATGCAATTTCCTAAAGTGGGTATTACAATAAATTTATTAATTGTAATACAGTATACACTTGTATTTTTGGAGGAATACAGTATACAATTATGTTTTTTGGGACTGCTTGCCTCGGTTGCTCCTCAGAGCTTGCTGTACTGATACTACAGGGTCATTCTCAGACATCAGGCTCCTGAGATATTCTTGGCACTTATAACCAAGAACCCACATCTTGTTCCTTCAAAGAGGGTGGGGAATCAAAGATCAATTCAGTACCAAGGTGAACCACCCAGAAACTTCAAATACCCCCCCCCCAAAAAAAAAAAAAAAAAAAAAAAATTATGATATAAGATTGCAAAAGTCAAGTGACCCAAGTGATTATTGGAACAGGCAAACTACAACTAACTCATTCCCCATGGTTACACCTTGTGGCAGGCAGGTGACCTGGCCCAGGTCACCCCCAGGCACCACAATGCCAGCATTTCCCCCATTGATTTCTATTTGAGACCAGACTTTACTATACCAGTAAATATGAGTGGCTGATTTTCACCTATGTTGAGGAAATAAAAACTGAATAAACTCCCTTAATGCTTATACTGATTCAAACACATTCAAGCAATTAGCTGCTATGCTTCAGTAATCTGGAAGCAATTTGTGTTGCCCCTTGATATTCAAAAGGCCTGTTGATACTTTGAGGATATCATTTGACATATATTTCTGGCATTCATTTGTCTATATAAAGTTGTAATGGCTTGGCGCTTACCCCTGACAATTAAAAAAAAAAATTGTCATTTTGAAAACATGTCTTGGAAGCTTTAGTTTCCATCCTGGGCCTTAGTAAAACAATGCACACATCTGGTGCATTACCATCCAACCACTGAACATGCAGCGTGACCCCACTAGGGACCACTGACACCATGAAAAATTGCAAGGACTTGGAAGGACCTGGAAGATCTTAATGATGGAGTATTACAAGAGTTGAAGAAGAATACAGTATTACAAGTTATTATACTTCATAATATGGAATAAGCTGCTATAATAACAAGTGAAGAGAGACTTGAGGAGCAAGGGTGTGTGGTGCCAAGTGAAATATGATGCCACACTCTCAACACATACTTTTAGCTGCCAATTCGAGCATATTTGTTACAACTACAGTAGAATCTCGGTTTTTGAATGCCCCTGTTTTTTAATTTTTCGGTTCTCGAGCTCAATTTCGTAAAAAAAATTTGACTTAGTACTCGAGGTTTGCCTCAGTGCTCGAGTTTGTTGATAGACGTATGGGCCGACCGAGCGCATGGTGTGCTTCAGTTTACCAGTGTCTCCCACATAGTGATGACTGCGCGCTTGAATTCTTGGTGAAGAATTTCATTTTTTTATGTTTTTTTGGTTTCTGACCATAAAAGTTCATATTATATATCATGCCATTGGTTCCAAGAAAGTCAGTGGTGAAGTTTAACCTAAGAAAATAGTTGTGTGGATGACGATAGAGGAAAAACAAGAGATCATTCATAGTGAAACAATGTGATGTCTCACTACAGACAAGTGTTAAAACATAGGGAAAAGCAAGTGTCTATAGACAGATTCTTAGTAAGAAAAGCAAACCCTTCCAAGTGCGACGCCTCTCCTCTTTACCCCCTTCCTCGCCTAGAAACCATATGCAAAGTGAACATAGCACAATATTCACAAGGAACTTGTTAGTAGATAATACAAAAGTCCTGGAATCTAACACTGACCAAAGAAAATTGCAAATCTGGGAAGCTATACTTATAAGAGAAAAGAAGTCCCACTGTAAATGTACAGAATATCGACTTCACAACCCTGCCGACACTCGGATCCAGATCTTGCCAAACACCACTGGATAACGACGATATTTCTACTATGGTCTTTCCTTCCCCCACCTTCGTGAGCACCAGAATTTTATGCAATACCTTGCCCAATGTTTGATTGGCCCTTTTTCCTTATTTCAACCTTATTCCTCTACCTCTTACCCGATGTTTGATTGCCCCCATATTCCTTTGCCCCTTTACCTCACCCCTTCTACATGTAATTTCAGTATTGCACATCAATTGTTTCTACAGGTACATCAGTCATGTTTGCAGCGATGGGTGGATGAAAAACAAAAGGGCAACTCTACAGTGAAGGTCAACTGTCCACAGTGTGGAGTGGAATATTTCATTGCCTTTCCTAACATGGGTAAGTTTACCTTGGTGGTGTTCATTTTCAATTGTCAATTTATGCATCTTTATTCTGACTGACAAATAGGCTATTGTTTAATAGGCTAGATAAATATTGCTATAATAAATAAATATTAAATATTTCAATATTAAATATTAAATATAAATATTTAATATTGCTAAATAGGCTAGATTTGTGTTCTTACATCTGACATATTTAAGCTATAAAGAAATTAGCATTAGGAGTAGAGAAGAACACTGTATTAGACCTACTGGCCATGTAACGCACATTCCATTTTACACCTGGTCATGATGTATACTAAGATATAGTACATGTACTGGTAAACTGTAAGATTTTGGAATGGGTTGCCAGTTAGCATGATTGAAACAGTTTAAAAATTTGAGAAATACATGTATTGAACAGGTACTAGTGTATGAGTGAGTGGGGGCAGACATAAACATGGCCTAGTATGGGCCAACAGGCCTGTTGCGGTATTCCATAATTCTTATGTTCATTCATTCTTAATACACACAGTACTATACAGGTACTTGTATTTCTTGCAGAATTTTTAATTTTTGGAGGGGAGGGATAGTAAAGTATATATATTACATGTGCAACTAACAATTGCAGGTTGTGTACTTAAAACTAAGAAATACATTATATATAGTGTATGAACTAAAATTCCTTTGCAGGTCAGTTAATGTTGTTTCTGGATAGAGTGGATGCTTTTATATACAAAGTGTGTCCATTTGTGGCTGCTGGTGTTGTTGTTGGCTCCATCTACTGGACTGCTGTTACATATGGTGCCATCACTGTCATGCAAGTAAGTTAAGAGGTTAATGTTTAAACATTATTTGACCCAAATTTATCGTATTTAATTAAGTTAGAATTATTATTGAAGTGTCTGAAAATTTAAGATATTCATTTTATCATGTTTTATAGTACTTTTACCCTCTTTAACACTTTAACATTGTGGCCTCTCCTATGCATTCCTAAGCATAAACCTTCTGGGCTCACTGTGCCTCTCATGGGCTGCTCAGTCATGATTTTTTACAATCATTTCACATTTTCTCAGTTATTTGTTGGGTTTTAGCCATAATGTTGGTGACAAAATGATTGCAAATGAATAATCTAGATATCAGATTAAAAAAAGTGTATTTATAATAGAATATGCATGATGGCAGTGAATATACAATGTTTTGTGAATAGCAATCAGATGTATTTTAGAACCATCAAAATGTTTACTGTCGGAGAACGGATGATGCATTTTAGTCTCATCAGAATGATAAAGTGTATAACTACTGTAAATTGATAAAAAAAATAAACCTTTGTAGGACTAAATCAGGATTTTTGTACATTAAACATGTTTAACCCTTTGGCTGGAAGGGTTTCCTCAGTAGCTTCCTGAGCTAAGGGAGATGCTCTAGGCCTTCGAGATCCATCCTTTCCGTCTGGAAACCAGGGGCCATAATCTAGCTATTTCTATGAGGCAATGAAAGCTGCAGTTTCATAGGTCAAACCAAAATTGAGAAAATTCCCCAGTAAGCATAAGAGCAACAAAACAAACCATTGCTTGACAAAATTTTTTGGCACCTTTAGGTAATAAGGCTAATGATTGTTGCTGTGGTATAAGCACTCTAACCCTGATTGTCTGACTACCACCAGATGGTAACTCAGCACACCCGCTCGTCCATGTTTGACCACCCATCACTCACCTGGTCACAGTTATGGAAAGTGTGGTACCCCTTACAGGGCCTTCCCTCTGCTTCACACTTAAGGCCAAAAATGATGGCTAACTATGGAAATTTAGTTCTGCTGGAGGCCATTGCTTTATTATTGTTTATTTTTTTCCTTTGCAAATTGCCTTGCATCATACAAGATGTTTGCCCTAACTTTATATTTCATTCCAACTGAGGGCCAGAGTTTCTTTTCTTGTTAGTTCATTTGTGTTACTTTTTCCCCTACTCGACCAGAAGTACATGCTCTGAGGGTTCCAAGTTCCTACTCAACTAGTCACCTTTCTTTCGGATAATGCACAGGACGTCCCCCCTCCCCCACTGCAAGGTGGCCTGTCAGTGAGGAGTAGAGCTGTTAGCTTTACACAGTCTACCCACTGTGATGCTTTCTAACCCTGCTCCTTGCGTTTGTTGGGACCTTGCTTGGGTCACGCAAGTGTCCTGTCCAAGGTGGCTCCTGCTAGCCTCTTTGTATGAGGCTTTGGTGAAGTTGTTACTGGACCTGGACCTGGAAGATCATCATCAGCTGCCTTTGTGCTGGTAGCTTTGACTACTATCTCTCTATGGACCCAATATTTTCTCTTGCACTGTTTCATTATACATCATGAAAAGAATAAAGAAGACAGTCAGTCTGTCATACATAGATGTTTCTTGCATGCTGCTCATTCCACCGATTGCCTAGACAGACAATTAGCCCTGCAGACGCTGGCTCAATTGTAGGCCATTTCTTCATTCATTTTGGTGTGGCGGTCCCAACTGCTGAAAGGAGGGGGGGGATTCCTTGTTCTTGCCTTTGAATGTTCGCAGAGGAGGGGCAGAGGGTGAATGTTTTCTACATATGAAATACTGAGGGAAATAGACAATGTGGACAAGGACAGCCTCTTTTTTATTGGGAGAAAATAAAATGAGAGGTGGAAGCTGGTACAGTAATGCAAATAAATCAAATAAAGCATGAGGAAATTCTCATTCCCTGTACTGGTGATCAGGATGTGGAATGCACTGAAAGTAGAAGTTGTGGAAGCCACCTCCATCCACAATTTTATGAACAGATATGACAAAGAATTCAAAAGTTGGAAAGTAAACTAAAGTACAAGGCACCCAAAAGGCTAGTAGGTGGTTCATTAGAAGTTTGACCTCACTCCAACACACGGTTATGTAAGTACTCTTAGGTGAGCACACTAACTACTGTATCAAAATAAATCACAGCAGTATCAATTCCACTTCATACATTGCATCTTTATACCAATGACGTAATATAAAATGCAAACAATGTCACAATAATGGGCTGAATATTAAATACCCAACACACACATCTGAAAATAAAGGAAGTGATGAAATTTCAATCCATCCCAAACCATTATTGGTTTGATAATGGTTCAGAATGGACCGAGATGTTGTCGGTTCCTTTTTTCCAGATGTGCGGGTTGAGTGTCTAACCTAACATGCACACTTAAGTGCTCAATAAATCCCATGATGGAAATGTCTTGTTGTGTATTAAATTAATTGACTTGCATTATCTGTCTGCGTTATATCCAAGGCTTGACTCATTGCTAAGAGCTAATATTCCATATTTTGTGTTCCTTTCATGTTGATGTTACTCCATCAGGTTGTTGGGTACCAGGAAGGCATGGCACTGATGGAACAAGCTGACCCACTGGTTCTTCTGGTTGGGCTGCCTACAATCCCTATCTTCCTCATTTTGGGAAAAATGGTTCGTTGGGAAGATAAGGTCCTCAGACTCATCAGGGCATCAGTTCAGAGACTTCCTTTCCTAAAATACCTCCTACCTGCGTTCCGGTGAGTTGAAAACACAAATAACTAACAGTATAGTATTGCTCAAGCACTTGGGTTGGACAGTAGAGTGATGTTATCACTTCATTCTGGTCGGCGTTCAGTCCCCGACCGTCCAAGTGGTTGGGCACCATTCCTTCCCCCTTCCTCCACCCCCCCCCCATCCCATCCCAAATCATTATCCTGACACCTTTCCCCCAATAATTCCCTCCCTTCCCAGTATAGTTAATACACAGCATTTAAAAAATCTTCCAAAATGAAGTCCTCATTTAACATGCCAGTAAAGTTTCTGTAGTTATTTGTAATATTTTTCAGATTGCAGTATGGTATCTCCTTAAAAGTATCATACTGTAACCAGTGTTCTGCAGTATCACATTTGACAATCTCGCCATCCTCTGGTGGTAATTTATTGTAAAGTGGCATAAATGCTTAGGGCTTGATGTAAATTATCCATTGACCAAATAGAACACTCAAATGCTGTTCTATGTTTCTGCAAGTCCTTTACATCAGAAGATGAGCATGTTGGCTTCACTAATTTTGCAACATTGACCTGATGTGATTTTATTAGGTTTTTCATACTTATTCTTTAATAATTCAACTATGTGGTTGTGCTTGTTTTCCTCTATGACAAGCATGCTAACCAGTTCCTAAGCATTGCCCTTTAATCATGCATTCAAAGAGGGTCAACTTTTTAAGTCATATTTATCCATTTGTAAAGAGAAGCCTTTAAATGTCCCAAATTTAAATTACAGGTATAGTGGCATCTCCATTACATTTTGGCAAAAAAGGAGATTTTGTAATTGTATTTACTCTTTCCTCTGGTATCTGGTTTATTAGGTTTATCAAGATATATATATATCTCTTTTTTTTTATTCAAATTCTATATAATTTCCTCAACTTGTATACTATATTCCTTGTATTATTTCAGTGACCAGTTCTCTGTCAAGTGATAAATTATATCGTCATCCTTCTTATCTTATCGAAGGATTTTATGATAGTATTTCTGGGAGCACTTTACTTTATCACTCTCTTATAGTGTGTTGGTCAGTTTAGTACAATCTGCTGGCTAACTATGCAACAGCATTTGTTGGCTAACTATGCAACAGCATTTGCTGGCTAACTTTGCAACAGCATTTCCTGGCTAACTATGCAACAGCTTCCGCTGACCTACTTCGCAACAGCTTGGGCTTGTCTACTATGCAACAGCTTGGGGCTTGTCTACTGTGTAACAGCTATGGTTGTTCTCTCACATTTGGTACTAATTAAGGATTAAACTTCTCTGCTTCTCTTCTGACTTGGATGTATAATGGCTCCTCCATTTACGAATTTAATCCGTTCCCAGAGATGGGTCGTAACTCAAAAATTCGTAACTCGAAAAAACTTTCCCGTAAGAAATAACGTAAATTGAATTAATCCGTTCCACAGTCCCAAAAATATTAACTTCAAAATACATTTCGTACATAATACACACACACATTTTGTACTATAGTATGTACAAGTTATAGCTTACCTTTATCGATGACTCTTGTTGGCACATGGAAGATGGTGAGGAGGGGGGAGGAGAGGTGTTACTGTTTGGAAGTGGAGTCCCCTTCCATTATAATATCGGGCAGTGACGACTTCTCAGGGATACACTCTCCTATATTTTGCCTGCATGCTGGTCGAGGACTGGGCCGCGGGGACGTCGAGCCCTGAAATCGTCACTAGGTAACCATCACAAGGTAGCCACTAGGACCTGGTTGTGCCTTACTGCTTGTTTTTCTCACTAAGAACCTTCCATAGAGACTTGCTTTTCCTCTATGGTCATCATTACATGTGTTTTCTTAGGTTGAACCTTACCACTGACTTTTTTGGGGACCCATGGCATGATATATAATTACTGTTTTGTTAAAAAAAACAAAAAAGCACAAAAAACAATGAAATTCTTTACAAAGAATTCAAGCGCAATCGTCAATAAGTGGGCGGTCTGGTAAATTGAAGGGGGGTCGCCCGTACCACCAGGAACCACGCGCTCCGTCGACCCATACGTGTATCAACAGAGTTTCAAGTTGAGGCAAAGGTTGTAAATCAAGTAAAATTTTCCAATGAAATTGGGGTCATAACTCGAAAAATTCGTAAGTAGGGGCATTCGTAAGTCGAAATCAGGTTCCACTGTACGTGTACTCATTTCTGATTTTCCTTTGTTCCACTTACATTTATCTTGGTGCTCTGCTTCTTGTCCCTCTTCCATGTCTTTTCTTTCCTCACCTTTTCCTACCATCACTGTTTAACCAAGGGTTAATCCCAAGCAGGATAATCTTTTGTGCAACTCAGATGACTTCGTGTAGGAAATCTCTCTTTCCTTGTATTGTGTAGTCTTTCCATCTGTCTCACTTCCTTCTTGACCTGTTTCCCTTCCTTCAGCCTGGCAGTAGCATTTTAGGCAAGTATTGTAATGATATAATAAGTGGCATTCCTTGGTTTCTTGTATCCAGTCACTGTGTGCTAGATTCTCTTGACTACTAGGGCTAGGGTCCCAAGCCTGTAGTCTCCTTGTTCCTTGTGTTAGCGGCATACTGTTGTTCTTGGGATGTGCTTATTATGGTGTATCCAATATTTTGGCTTTACTTGTCCTCCCCGTCTTCCACTTGGTCATCCCCACCATGGGGATCCCTGGCTTGTGTAGTCTGTTCGTGAGGTTGAAGTTATCAAGATTTGGGATGTTTGTGGGGCCTGACAGCAGAGTGGACAGTGCTCGGGATTCGTAGTCTTGAGGTTCTGGGTTTGATCCCCGGTGGAGGCGGAAATAAATGGGCAGAGTTTCTTTCACCCTGATGCCCCCTGTTCACCTAGCAGTAAATAGGTACCTGGGAGTTAGACAGCTGCTACGGGCTGCTTCCTGGGGGTGTGTAACAAAAAGGAGGCCTGGTCGAGGACTGGGCTGCAGGGACGCTAAGCCACGAAATCATCTGAAGATAACCTCAAGATTGTGTTTCTTACCTATTTCTGCTCATTCCATAACCCTGGTAACTCATAACTCTGTAAACTTCTACCTAAACTGGACAGCTTTTAATGCAAGTTATTGTTATCCTTTTTCCATAGATATGAAGAGCCAGCTGGAGTGAGTACGACAGCAGTAATAAGTGATCCTGTGAATGCAACACGAGTTCTCTGTGGCGCCCTCTCCCTTCCAACTCTTGCTACAATTGTAGGACGACTCTTCTTCCCATCTGCTCACGACAATCTTACGAGAACTCTACTTGTGAGTACTGTATGTGAATATTATTAAATCTTTGTTTAGTTTTAATAATAGAGTTGCACATCAGATTTAAACAGCTTAGCATAGTTTATCACAAGTCAAAAGCCTGTATACCTTGTTGGCTGTGCCTGGAGTTGAGGCCTTGTGGTTCAGGCTTTGACAGCACTGCCCAAGTTACTTGCTTCTCTCCTTCAGGAGGCAGTAGCAGGTTTCTTTTCTGCTTAATTTGCCTTCTGGTGGGCTGTGTTGGTCTTTACTTTAGATTCAATCTGGTCCTTGTCTCATTTTGACTTTATTTTTATTTTTTATTTTATTTGTTTGAGTTGGCTCTCTCCATGGTCATTTTGGCTGCAGCTGTCTGCTGCTTGGCAGAGGCATATTTTCAGTGCGGAGCCTCGCTTGTTGTTGGTCGGGGAAAATTTCCGGAGGAGTTGAATTCTCAGACCGTAGTGCTTTCTCAGTGCTTGGTGTCACTCTTGAAGATCACTGAGGGGTGCTTCAGTGCAGGGTTCTTCACACTGGCCTATTATGTGGGTCACTTCTTTGACAGCACTGTGGAGGGATGTCTGGATAATTTTGCCAGCTCTTGGACCCACAATGTGTGGGCCTTCCAGGTGGTGTTCCAGTGCCTGCATTAGTGTTCCTCAGTTCCTCCAAAGGTGTAGGGGGGTCCACGGCCAGCAGTTTACCCTGCAGTTCCTGTTGATCATTGCGGAGTTGTTGAATGCTAGAGTGGTCGAGTTAACCCCCGCTCTGTGGTGATTGTCCCATGTGTTTCCAGTCCCCAAGTGGGAGATTTGTTGAATCTGCAGAACATTCTTAACCTTTCAAGTTTGAATTGGTTCATCCCCTATCCAAATTTCTACAGACTACTTTTTGGCATGTGCACCTGTTGTTGCTGGCAAATTCCTGGAGGGTGTCCCTGGACTAATGGGATGCCAGTTGGCATATTCCATTTCAGTGACTGGTTAGGTTTTATGGTGGGGCACCAGGCTTACAACTCTCAGGGGTTCTTCTGTTTGTCCTGAATCTGGGTCTTTGATTGTTCAGGTTGATGTGAGTGGTCATTTGTCATGTTGGGGTTTGCATCTTGGCATACTTCAGAGACTGGCTGGTTTAGGCTCCCAGCCAATGCACATGTCTGTTGCCCAAGGATCTGGTTCTTTGCCATATTCATGCTTCTCAAGGTTCAGTTTTCTAGTGACTTGGTGAAAGTCCCAGTTGGTTCCATTTGCAGGTTCAGACATGGTTAGGTTTTGTCTGGGATTCTCGGTCGGTTCCCTTTCCCTTCTGCTTGCTGCCCTACCACACTTGGAAGTGTTTTGGAAGACTTTGGAAGTCTTCACCAACAGACTCTTTATCTGGTGGTGAAGATTTCCCAGGGCACCCATTGTTGGTTTCAACAGCTGTGTTGGAGTCTAAACTTTGCTTGCATGGTTTATCCTCTGAGCAGGACTCAGGGCTAGGCTCTGTAAAGTTTCCTTTGGTTTTGCCACCTCGGGCAATCGGCTGCTGGGTGTTGGGGCCAGTCCCCTGCTTCTGGTTCACCAATTTTCCCTTCACCTTTTGGGGTTTTGTCCCATGATACATACCTCCTTGGTGCTTGACCTTTTCACAAATGCCTCGGTTTTGGGTTGGGGTTTTGTTGCCAGTACTTGCCAAGCCGTTTACTATTGCTAGGCAGGTACTTTCCATTGGGTGCACAACATGGTGCACACGTTTGGTGTGGTTTGGCATGCTCATGGATTGCCTTGTCTCTCGGTGGGGTCCATGATCTGGCTGCACCATGTTTCTCAGTGGTTCATTGTTTGAATCAAAAGGGTTGTTTGGTCTCTCTCTCTCTCTTTGGAATTGAAGTCTGTGGGTATTCCTTTCTCTCTCTTGGTTGTTTCAGGACCATCATCTAATGTTGAATACTGTAGCCTTGTATCGTGCAATACTGGCGGAGCCGTTTCTACTTGCGTTCGGGGTGGATGTCACTTCAGTCCCGTTTCTCATGTGTTGTTTCACCACCATCCTGCTCATGCTCTGCCTGAGCCATCCTGGTCATTGGACTGGGCACTCTTTTCTCTCTTCTCCTAGGTTTGTGGTGGCCCATTCGGTTCAGAATTGTTTTGACAAGGCTCTTTTCTTGTTGGCATTGGCCTCTGGGGGTCGGGTCAGGGAACTTCATGCTCTCCTCTGGCGCAGGGGTTTTTGCTCTTTTGGTCCTGGTGGTAGGTTTGTTCAGTTGCAACCGTCTCCTCCTTTTCTGGTGAAGAACGAGATGGTGGCTTTCCGGAGGGGTTCTTGGTTGGTTCGGCCAGTAGTGCATCATGTGTTGTGCACGCTTTGCGGCTCTTCGCCGTTATTTACATGCCATAGACTCTGTGACCAGGGACGCGCTTTGGGTTGACTTGATTTCCCTTCTTCCTTGTTCCTGCGGTCTGTCCTCATGCCCATGACGTTTGCAAATTTGCTGCTTTAGCTGCCGTTTTTGGTAATATGTCTTGGGCTGACATTCGGGCGCGAGGATTTTGGAGGTCAAACAGGGTCCTGGCTGCCCGTTACCTCATTAATGTTCCTGGCCCTAGTCGGGTGTGTGTTGCGTTGGGTCGCAGGTTACAACCAGTTGTCTCAACTTTGCGTCGAGATGCGAGTGGCAGCCGCCTCCCGGGCAAGTCCCTCTTTTTTTTTCTTTTCTGTGGTTAGGTAGCTCCGGGGAGCCGGAGGGGCTCTCCACAGAAAACCAGCGTTGACTGTAATGAAACGCCATTTTCTGCGTGAGTCCCGGAGGCTCTCTGATAACCCTCCTTGCCCTCTGGTCGGCGGTTTTAGCGTTTTGATATTCAGCCTATGAACTGGGGTTGGATGGCCGGCGCAAGGGGTCTGGGGCTCCCCCTTCCCCCTTCTGGGGAGAAGGGAGCTGCGCAAACAGTGGTGCAGCGGCGGTTGTGACGTCATGCTTGTTTTCAGATTATGGACTTCTGCTTGATAGTTTGGTTTTTGGTAGCATTTTTAACCAGGTGAGACTGTTTTGAAACACTTACCTTTCTGGGTGCCTAACCTGGTAGATGGCAGACATAGAATACTTCCAACCACAATGGGGTTTCTATAGGCCATTGCTCCTTGTACCTCTCTGAGGGGGCCAGTTTCTAGCTCGTGGTCCCTGGTAGGCTCGAACTCCAATCGAATTGACTGATGCTCACTAAGGATGAGACAGCTGATTTTGGAGGGGGCCTTTTAGTGATTGAGGTTTTGTTTGTTCAGGTGGGGGTGCATTGTTTGTCGTGTCCAGTTGCAGCCATTCATTATTAACTCACCATTTGTGTTCCATGAGGATCCAGTGTGTCTGGTTGCACAGCGTCAAGTTTTGCCAGCCTTTGGTCTACCTGCATGCCTCTATGTTGCTCACAAGTAGGCGGCTCTATCTAATGTGTCTGTCTTGGGCTGATATTTAGGGATGGGGAATTTGACAGTCTAACAGTGCTAGTGGTGTGATACCTTTTCAATGTTCCTGGTCTGTGCCAGGTTTGTGTGGTGTTAAGTTGAGTGGCCATTATTTATTCCCTTCCTAAGGGGGTTACTGGCTTCTAACTCTCCTCTGCCCCTGGTGAATTCCTATTATGTTTTGTTCTCCGTAGTGAGATAGCAACATGGGCTACCAGCATTGAATGCAATGAAAATGCCTCTTTCTGGTGGGTCATTTGTGGGCCATTTGGTTTCATCTATCCTGACTCTATGACTGATGAGTTACTGAATGGATCCAGTAGCTGAACGTGCTGCCACCTGGTGGTGGACAGCTGCTACTACAGGGTAAACTGCCTATCAGGTGGATTGTTTCAGGGGTTTCATTCTCTGTGTTGTGTTTATCTTGCCCTTGTCTGCTTTGTCTCTGCCTTTTCTGGTTGTTTTTCTTGGTTTAAGTAATCTAGAATCCCCAGAGCCCTGTGCCTCTAGAGGGGAGGCCCAGGTCTTGGCTTCTGGTCCCCAATAGGCTTACAGTGCTCAATGGCCCAGTGTGATTGGATTTGGGTGGAGCTTTCTTGGTTGCTAGCAACAGGGAGCCACCAAAGAACTACCATAAAGAGCCATTGATTGTAATGAAATGTTGGTTTTTATTAGCCAGTTATTTGTATCATTCACAGTTTTTTAATGAATTCATTGAATAATGAGGACGCCCTAAAAGAGATGTGTGGCATGATGCCCTGATGCTAGACCTTTATGTTATGCAACAATTTCTTTTTCAGGGAGGTGCATCATTCTTGGTGGTGAAAGGTCTGTTCAAGGTATATTACAAACAGCAGCAGCACGTGATGCAGAGCAGACGGAAGATTATAGACTATCCTCAGGATTCGTCAACGTCTCAGGTTCCGGCAGCCTCCACTCCTCGGGCCCCACCCCCTACGCCGCAGGAACTTCCCGATAACCCATCTATGCCGAACACTCAGTCTTTGTCCAACCAAGAATTTGATCAACAGTTCTTGCAACAGCAACAATAAAGTTTGCAAAGAACTTAATTAGATAATATTTTCTTCAAAAGATTTTATTCAGGAAACTCGTTGTATTCACAAGTTTTATCCTGAATCTATTTTGTTAAATGTGAGGTGTGGAAAAATATATACTGTATATACAGAGTGACTGTTGGTTATATTGTAATTGCCTCTTATTTGGCTACACTGTTAAATATACCTCTGTAAATACTGTATACTTGGTCTCAACTTCTGAACTGCACTAAAGGAAATGACTTTCTAAGTGAATTTTGGAAGAGTTTTGGAAATATACACATTGAAAAGAAAAATCTGCATGTTATCTTAATGACTGGGTTACTACACTATCTGCAACTGGTTTAGTTGTGACCTAATCTGTCCTCATTCCCCCCCCCTAAGTATCTTCCCCTGGGTGGACAAATCTGGTGAAACTGACTAAAAGCTCTTCTGTATTATATCTAGATGTTTGTGACCTGTGTTTTATTAAATACTGAATTGCTCTTGATATTGTTAGTGTAGTGTGTAAGGGTGCTCAAGTGTTTTAGTGCTTGCATGGTTTCTTTTTCAGATTTATAATCTTTGTGGTGGTTTCTGGGTGACACCTCGGTAGCTGCCTTCAACTTGAAACACACAGGTGTATAGGAAAACATTGAAAACAACAGGCTTCTGCCTCCAAACTCTGCATAATGTGGAGCAAGCACCAGTTTTGCTTGCCCCAGTTTTGTAGGTGAGAAGTTTGTCATAGGGATCGAAGGTCAGCTGGTGAGAAGAGAAAACTCCAAACACTGAACTCTCCTTTGAGAATATTTTGGAAATCTCCAATTGCCAAACATCTCTCTTAACTACCTATCCCTCACTGAGCCAAGTACCCTGAGCTTCACCAGGTGGTATGCTGCACTAGCCAAGGGTTGAGGTGACCCAGTCTTCTCACATTCGTTTACCTATAAGAGTGAAGTCATGTGCTTTCTACCGAGACCTCTCACCTTCCTTAACAGCTAAGTGAACTGGTTCCTTGTAGAAAGGTAGAACGGTTTAGGAGTCATTTGGTTTTAAAGCTGCACAGCATGAATGCCAATTTTGTTTCGAGATGATCTTCCTTGATGATGTCCCAATAATCAACTTCCACCAGAGTTCCAGTCTGGGGATTTTTAATTCGTTCTTTGAGGCAAACTCCTTTCGAGTTGACTTTTTGAAGTGTTTTCTGTTCTCTGTGGTTGATCACGGTGGTGGGTTGAGTTTTGATTCCCACAAGCGTTAATGGGGCAAGCAAACATTTTGCTTGTCCACCACATATTGTGAGCGGTAAACTGGGGAAAGTTACTAAGCTGTATCCCAGAAAGGGGCATTTCATTACACTCGGTGCTTTATTTTTGTTTATGTACTGCACTGCAGTAACACTAATGAACACACGAGCTAGCTTAAGAAAGCTGTGTGTGAATGTAATATCGATACACTGCTGAACAACTGATGTCAATGTATAGTATCACTATTACAGTGCACTCTACTCAGAATTAGAAGCTTTATTCTTAAAAAATGTATTCAGATCATTGTAATTCTGGCTGGACTGACTAAGCCTACAGCCATAAAGAACATAACACACAGCTTAGTTAGTTGTAAAACAGATATTGACCAAACATAACATAATTTAAATGGCAAGCCATACAAAGACTAAATATAACTTGTAAGACGTGTATTGATAAAAGAAACATATCTTTAACAGCTTATTATTTCATATTACATAGATCATATATTGTACATATATTTACATTAGATTACACGAGCACAGATGCAAAAGAATCACAAATATAGAGGAAACTTTATAAAAACATTGTACATAATATCATCAGCTCCCAGATCTCGCTCGTTTTAAACACACGCATCGAGTAACAGAGATCAGATTAACAAATTTAAATTGCTTGTCTACATGGAATGTGTTTGTGACAGTAATTCCTTAGTAATATCTAGTATCCAACTTGGGGGGCATTCCCATTTTACTGTTGTCCTGCTGCATCATTACACCAGACACATCACTTAGTCTCAAGTTGTATTTTCTTACATTCAAGTTGATATTTCTAGCTAGCTAAGTAATTATGTAATTACATGTACAGTAATAAGTGGAGGCCTCCCCACCCCCTCTCTCCCAGGATATTCGTGCATGAGCCCTAAGCTTCTGGCTGGCCCACTGATGTGAAGGCCTGATGAGAGCTAGTAATGTTAGCAGGATGGGTGATTTTCTTCGGATAAAATATCATCCGCTTCTGAATTACTTCGCCATGTGAAGGTGTGGACATGAGGCCAGGAAGCAAGTCACAATGAGTGTGAGGAGGGACACCTAAAGTATGTTTGGGAACATTTTTGCCACGCATCATTTACCTTACCAAAGTCACCTTTTTTGCAGACTCATAGTTCACAATCCATACTAACTTGAGACATTGTTTGTTGAATATCTACTTTGGATAAAGTGTGAATGTGACCAAATTCATTCAGTATGGTATTTGTCCTTTTAGGTTTCTGATGGCAGTAACAACATTTACAAGCAGTCTAAATGAGAATACTAGTATGACTCAAATGCTTTTCAAAATATTTTACTTCATTATCTCTATTTTGTAGTTTTTGTTCATGATCTGGAAAAAAAAGTCTAGCGAGTTAAAAAGTTACTTTATAGTACATTTGCTAGAAGTGACCATAAGATTGTATTTACATTATATTTTTCACATTATATTTTCAGCATTATTTAAAATATTTTTTTCCACGGTCTCTTTGTTTGATGCTAATATAAATAGAAGAAACATTAGCATTAGTTCTGTCCATACAACAGCCTGCTCCATTGGCTCTCAAATGTTTCAATGGTGGATCAAGATAGACAGCAGATAATAAAGGACTAAAATCCAGCTCTTTGTTTGACCCCATTTTCTGTGGGGGAGGCCCCACAGCTCCCTGGAGCTATCGGATTAATATGCGATACATTAGACCAGGGCTTTAGTCAATGGAGTTCTGTCTACCGGGGACCACAAGCCAGAATCTGGTCCCCTCAGTGAGACGCAGTGAGCAATGTTTTATGTTTCCTGTGTTTGGGTCTGGGCCCTGGGTTTTGGGCCCGGTGTACCTGGCCATTTGCTCTGCTTGCTCCCACGCCTTCTGTCCCTCGGTTTTTGGTCCGTTTTTGGCTGTTTACCTGGGCGTTCAATCTGGGAATTATGTTTTGCCATTAATTTTTGTGGTGCATTTCTGCCAGCATATGTGGTGGTTTGGGCTTCCCCCAAGTTCGTTTCTTGGTTCCTTTGGGCTCTTCGGTTTCGTTTTGGAGGTTTTCTTCCTCTTGGGCCCATTTTGGGGTTCTTGGTTACCTCCTGTACACCCCAGACTTCTGGTGTTCTGGGGTCTTCCTGGCCTGCAGAATGCTCTTTGTGGGTCTTGGCACATGTTTTGTGGTCGTGCTGGGGCTTCGGCTTCTGTTTGTCGAGGTGGGCCTTTGGTGCAGCTTTTGTTCCGGTGCCTCCTCCGGTGGTGTTCGCTCTGCTCGCAAGTCGGCTTCTTGCTTTTTTACTATTATTTTTTTCCCAGAGAAAAATGCTGCAGTCCCTTCGCAGGTTGACGGGACGACATGGAGGGGGGTCACTCTGTTTGCTCATGCCTGGCCCACGATTTGTGGGCATTCGGGTCATGTCCTCCAGCCTTTGGTGGCGTTGGGTGGCTCCTCCTTTGGGGGGCTTTGGAGCTAATGGAGCGGGCTTCTTGCCTTGCGCTCTGTCGCGTCATCTTGGAATGGGTGCGCTTTGTCGTGGTCGACACGTCCACATCCCTCAGGTGGGTTCCCGCCTGTTCCAGTGCCGATACAAGACTGTGCAGATCTGCAGTTTGTTCTGGACTTGTCCTGTCTGAACTCCTGGATTCCTTGCCCTTCCTTTCGGATGACCGCTCTGTTTCAGGTCAGGCTTCTGTTGGAACCGGGTACCTGGGTGGAGTCCCTGGACCTCAGGGGCGCGTATTGGCACGTTCCCATCCTCAGGGGTTCTGGGATTGGTTAGGTTTGTGGTTATCTTCAGGTTAACTTGAGATGATTTCGAGGCTTAGTGTCCCCGCGGCCCAGTCCTCGGCCAGGCCTTCACCCCCAAGAAGCAGCCCGTAGCAGCTGTCTAACTCCCAGGTACCTATTTACTGCTAGGTAACAGGAGCATCAGGGTGAAAGAAACATTTTTGCCCATTTGTCTCCGCCTCCACCGGGGATCAAACCCGGAACCTCAGGACTACGAATCCGAAGCGCTGTCCACCCAGCTGTCAGGCGCCCTGCTGTGGTGGGGCATCCGGCTTCCCACTTTTGTTGAATTCCATTTGGCTTGAATCAGGCACCACGCATATTCACGAGTCTTACCTGGGTTGTGACCCCGGGAGTGAACCTGGGGCGTTTTCCATAGCTCCGCCTCTTCCAGCAGATCGGACTGGTCAGGTACATGGCTGGTTCTGTTTTCTCCTCCGCTCTTCGCAACTCTTCTCTTTGATGCAAGTTTATCACCATCTCTACGATGATCAGGTAGCTTGCTTGATGGTGTCCCACCTGCGAGCTTCGTCTTGGCGACAGTATGAAGTTTCCTGGGATTCTTTTTGCCATTTTCTCTCTCTCTTCATAGGTTTTCTTCCATTTCTGGTCGGGTTGTTTTGTCCTTTCTTTCTTGGCTTTTTAGGACTGTCCCTTAATGCCCAATACTGTCGTCTTGTATCGTGCGGCGCTGGCGGAGCCACTCTTGCTTGCGTTCAGGGTGGATGTCACTACTGCCCCGTTCCATAAGCTTTCTCATGCTTTGTTTCACCTCCGGTCTGCTCATGCGCTGCCTGAGCCGTCCTGGTCTTTGGTCAGGGTGCTCTCCTATATCTCCTCCTCGGTTTGTGCTGGCCCTTCGGTTCAGGTTTGCTTTTCCGGGGCTCTCTTTCTGTTGGCATTGGCCTCTGGGGTTCAGGTTGGCGAGCTTCATACTCTCCTCCGGCACAGGGGTTTCTGCTTCTTTGTTCGTGGTTGTTAGTTTGCTCAGTTGCAACCTTCTTCTTTTCTGGTGAAGAAGGGGATGGCTGCCTTCCAGAGGGGTCCTTGGGTCATTGATGCTTGGTTGGTCAGGCTGGGGGTGCATCATTTGTTGTGTCCGGTTGTGGTTCTTTGCCATTACCTGCATGCCTCTGCTTCTGTGGCCGGGGATGCGCTTTGGTTTGATCCGGTTTTCCCCTTGTTCCCTTTTCCAGGGCTCGTGTCTCCCAGGTCGTCTGCAGGGTTATTAAGTCTAGCCAGCCTGCGATCTATCCTCGTGCCCATGACGTTCGGAAGTTTGCTGCTTTGGCTGCCGTTTTCAGCAACATGTCTTGAACTGTTATTCGGGCGCGAGGATTTTTTTAGGTCATACAGGGTCCTGGCCACCTGATATGTGGTTCACATTCCTGGTCCTGGGCATTCATGTGTTGCTTTGGGCCACAGGCTGCAGCCAG